CCTCTTGGTGATGTGGTGCTGTCCTCCGCGGTAGCATTATTACTAATAGCCAAATAAATAAGTAAATAGTCCAACTACACCAAATACGTGTATTATATATTCATAAACAATATTACAAAAATTACCTTCGACTCTGCATGTGGATCGGGGCGAGAGGATATATCGGTTGGGCTGAGCGATGTACTTCTCTGTGGCATCCGCACGAAGCTAAATCAAACCAGAAAAAGGGGAAAACATAAAAAGACATCAATTTCGAATTATTTTATGTCTTTTCTTAATCCAACTGAAACGAAAAAAAAAAAATTTCCAACGAGAGTCAGTACCCTATAGGCGATGTGGTCATCGGTTTTGTTGGTTAACATGATGTAACACAGGCTGGCCCTTTTTGATTCGACTGATTAATTGGCCGGGGGGAAAAACAAAACAAAACAATGAAATTAGATGAATTATGAGCCAAGAAGAAGAGATCAGCTTAATTCGCAGTAAAATCCTAACAGTATTATAATGTTGAGAAAGGGAACTACTACTTACACGGGAACCTGAGTACGGGCGGGTCGACTTGAATCAGCTTGCCGGTTGCCATGGAAGAGAGAGAGAGATGATGATGATGAACGTAGCTTGTTTTTTTTTTTCCTCCAAAACCCCAGATTAGCTATTTTAAAACCCTAACTTTAGTACCGTTTAATTTAATTTATACCCTTTAGTTCAACAACCGACTTAGTTAACCGGTGTTTCCTTTAAACTATATTACGTCATCAACCAGCGACGTAACTGACGATGGATATATATATAATTCTTTACTCTTCTTTGAATTTGTTATCTCCAAACTCCTCTAATGTATCCCTAACTAAACGAGAACTCTAATTCCTTAAAAGAAACAAAAACAAAAAACAAACCAAAATTATGATTGTTGAGAATCAAGAACCGCATGAAGTCGAGCTCTATGGCTCTCTAGTTGAGAAGCAAGGCCCGCATGATGTTGAAACCGTAGTTAGATTTTAGGACGGGTAATTACTTGTTATTGTTTTTGAGAACATCGATCACAATTTTTTCCCCATGTATACCCCCTCAAATATCGATATTTCCCAAGATCTAGATTTTTGCTAATTCCTCGCATTTGATAACTTTTTTTTTGGCTAATGGAAAAATCCAAATAAATTACAAGATAACCCTTCATAAATAAAAAAAAAATACAAAGATTCTCGTGAAAATTTGAAAAGTATAAGTAATCCCTGAATAATGTAAACACCCAACTAGAAAATCTGAAAATCATAAACAATCCCTCCCTGAAAAACATGCTAGAATAATACAAAAAATTTACGAACCTCTAGAAAAATTCAAGACCTCAATAACAAATCTAAAAATTGCAAACAACCCCTCGTGAATAGCCCCCCCAGAAAATTTGAAAATTACAAACAGACTTGAAGAATCTGAAAATTATAAATAACCCTCTCCAAAATCCAATAATTTTAAATAAATTTTTTATGGGAATTTTTTAAATTTTAAGGGCTTATTTGCAAATTTAAGATTTGACAAGGGGTTGTTTGTATTTTATAGATTTGTCAGGTGTTTTTTTTTTTTATAATTTTCAATTTTAAGGGGCTCTTCTTCTCCGGCCGATTTCTTGTTGCTCCGGATGGTTTGTAGAGTCTACCATAGTGCTTTTTTGTAGGTTCTTTGAGCTAATATCCTCTTTATTTATTGAGATTTGTTAACTATGCTTTCTAAACTCCAAGCACCACAATTCCTCTGGAGTCTTATTCTCTCATATGGCTTGTTTCAAAACACTCGAGAGCAACCATTCACTTGGTTGGAGTTATGTTCTTCTCTAAAGAGGGATTCATCAATCAACCGGAGCGAATAATTTTATGCATCATCAACTGAGACCCTGTCCTTCTACAAAGATTCAAGCTTTCACAAGGCAATGCCAATGCCCTCCGATTCATCATGTACTCAAAGAAGACCTAAGGCAATCCCCACGGCGCACGGTCAAGAACCCACCAAATAGAAATAAGGAGAAGTGAATCTCTTCTCTGTTCTGTGAAGCCCGAGCCATGAAGAACACCACATCTTCCTTCGATCTGAGCCGAAAACACATATCCCCATCAAATAATAGAGATATTGTGATATTCATACCTTTTGTAAAGAGAGATGCAATTGTTGTCATGTTTTATGTTGTCATAGGATCTCATTATGAACGATTAAGTCACACCTAAGAACCCGTGCTCCGATACTAACTAAAAATTAGAGCAAGTGCACCAAGCTCCCACCGCCGCTCTCAAGGCCTACGTTCAGCAAGCTCCCAAGGGGCTCCCTGGGCTGATGTGGCCAGTGGGGCCCACCGGAGCTCTTGGGAGCTCCCAAGCGCTCCACAAATTTGTGGAGCGCTTGGGAGCTCCCAAGCATTAAAAAAAATTTTTTTTTACAAAATCCCCCTTACTTTTAAACCCAATCCTTAAAGAAATATTTTTTTTTTGCGAAAAAGTCTTTGGCCTTTGTATCTTTGCAATAGAAGTGAGGTTTTTTTATAGAATAGGGTTTTTTTTTGATATTGTTGAAGCTCCTAACTAGGAGCTTGTTGGAGCTCCATAAAATAAGGAGGTGCTCTCAATGCTTATTTTTATAATTTTTTATTTCAAAATGCTTGAGAGCTCTTGATAGCTTGCTAACTAGGACTCCCAACTGGGAGCTTGATGCACTTGCTCTTACCCTATAGGAGGGCGAATTGGGTGACATGACGGCTATTTAAAAATTTAGACTTTAAAAAAAATGTAATTGTTACAATTATGTTTTATCTGTGAGCTAAACAATTTCCACAACTCTACCCCAATATAAATTACACCACAGATAATCATAATAAGCACAAAAAAGATGCAATTTTAGAGATCGCTACAAAAAAAAAAGCACAACCACAAACATGAAGATTTATAGTGTTTCAACAATCTTGCTTGCTTCACTTCTATCAACCTCGAAAATTCCACTCAATCCACATTCAAATTGAAAACTGAGTTACACTTTGACCCAACTGCCAATGTGGATATGTTGGACTTCAACTCATTAATGATGGTATTATCTTCTATGATTTTTTAGGGGATTATTTTGGACAAGAAATGTCGACCTAATGATTCAGCCATATTGGGCCACTACAGCCACCATCGGCTCTGTGATGTTCACTGTTGAGAGAGTTGTTTATTCCTTATTGTTTAGTGTCATATTGGTCAAAGAAAAACTCCTTTATTATCCAAAACACAATTAATCATATTCAAAAGGGAGCTAAAAATCTCTCAAAGGTTCACAAACTCCTTTATTATCCAAAACACAATTAATCATATTCAAAAGGGAGCTAAAAATCTCTCAAAGGTTCACATTAACATGTCAGAGCCAATCTCTCCTTAATCATATTCAAAAGGGAGCTAAAAATCTCTCAAAGGTT